AGCTGGATCGGATCACTTTTTTTCATGTTTCCAGACTAATTTCCAGCTGGTAAATTCAATCTCATTTCCAGCTGGAGCCCAGTTGGAAAATGTAGCTGTTTCCAGCCGGGATTTTAAACTGGGTGGGCCCTTATATGTAATGCGTATGGTTGAGTGATGTACGTTAGCAGAGGAGCACGCGTGTGATTCCGCTCTCTCGTTCAATCGCAGGTGATGGCGAAGTGCAACGCTTACGTTTCCAGTTTGGTTCCGTCCAATACCGAATAACATGCGTACGTTTATCTTTCTTTGCTCACACATTCCAGCCACTTTTCAGGTTTCAGGACGCGTTCATCAGTCAATATTTGATTCAGTATCTACAGGGATCTCGTCTCAATTGATCCGAGACCCTCTTCCATCCATCCTCCGGATGATTAAATTTCTTGTTTTGCCATCTGATTAGTGGAAAGGAAACGAAATTACAGATAGTCTCCAACTTCCTGCAAGTATGTACATGTCTGATAGACCGTGGTTGTGATTTAGTTCATTGAGATTTTATTTTATCAAACGAATTTTTTTGCAGGAGGAATCCCAAGGAGTGAGAATGTCACTAGAATGAATCAGCACGGATGCCATTCGGAATGCTAAAAAGCCATGTCATCCATACATTACTGCTCTCACTTTTCAAAAGGAATTATTACTCACCCCACCTCCTAATTGTTCATTTATTGGAAAACATGAGTTGACAAAAAAGGAATGTTTTCCGTCCACGGTGGCTGTATTTGCTATCCTTTGCCAGTATTTCCTTGCTTCCTGAAGTTATTTTCCCATTCTGCAAGACTCGAAGACACCATCTGTAGTGAACTACTGACAAGTTACTTTAATAAAATAAAACCACCAGAGACTGGCGAGTAGTTCTCCCTTCTTGACAGGACAAACATTTTCTGGAATTCCACAATATGTTCCTTTTATGTAAGGAGCCTTTCTTAGGAGGACCACGTTAGGACCATGTGAAGGATTGTTCACAGTATCCCTAGAGGAAAGAAAAGCATATTCGTCGATTATTAAAAGAACGTGGGTAGTGAAAAGAGACAAGTGAAAAGAAAGAAAGAAATAATCCGCATTATAATACGCAATGAGATCAGAATCTGGGGACTAAAAGGAATCCTTACATTGTAGCCGTGGAATGAACCAGGTTGACAAGGTTTGTTTTTGGCCGTGATGAAATTAAATACTATAGTAGGATAGGAGCAGAACGGCTGTAACGTTGTCAGGTCCAGCATGAATATCTTGCCATCACACGGTCCCTGATGACCTGCACAGTACACAAACACTAGCGTGAATGGGGCTGCATGAAACATTCCGGCCAAGAGAAAGGGATAGGGGAACTAACGAAGTTGATAACACTTCTCCTGCTGAGGAAAAAACACCCATTCATCCGGGCATTTTCTTTCCTGACATTCTATCGTATTTGTGTCTCCATTCGCCACCAGCACTTTCCCTGTTCAAGAAAGATGTTCATAAACCGGGATCTCAATATTTATTCTTTGATAATAAAAAAGATTCTTCTATTCTACCTTCTCCGCAGGGTCCCTGGGTATAGAGTTTATGGCATTGTCCATCGCTAGGCGAATAGACTTTGTCGTACTCGCACTCGCATTCAACAATCCCTGAGTGGCTTTTCGAAGGGTACCAACCTGGTGGACAGTCACCCTTTTCGTTCGGTTTCACCACACATGTCCCATCGCTCAGCTTCACAGAACTCTTTGGGCATGGCAGAGCTTTGCATCTCAATTCCTCGACCGTCTCTGTTGTGTTCCTTTCTTTGTTCAACTTTTGGACTTCGGTCAATTCCAGTCGATACCCCTCGGGACAGGGTCCCACTTCCAAGGGTTCGTAGCAGTATTTTCTCCGAGTCGAAGTGGATTCCAGACACGTCTCGGTGATATTCCTGTCGCCAGTGTTGTCGAACGATTCCAGGCCCGAGCAGTTGTCATTCCGACTGGGACACGATGGGATATCGATCTTCTGCCCCGACGGTTTAATTCCTTCGCCGCTGGTTGCGTTCCTCTTCGCTTTTTCAGTGTCCACCAGCTTCGACGGAGACGTCGGGTTGACATCTGCGATGGAAGGAATCGATCAAGACAAAGATTACTTTATTTTCGTAAGAATGTCCAATAAATTATACTTACCGGTGTATTCCGGCGAGATTTTGTGCGGAAACACGAAGCAGGAAAGGGAAAAATGGAGGGCGGAGAAGACGAAGGGCAGAAGGAAGAGGAAACCGTTCATCTTTATCTGTATAGAGACGGTAGGATGAATGAAGACGAATGAAATGATCCTCTCAAATTTAGCCCTTCAAATGTCAAGGTTCCGGTCGGGACGTGAACGTGTCTTCTTTCCCCTTATGATATCCCGTGTCAAGGTCGAGCGTTCATGTAGAATATGATAAACCTACGATCTTTTAAAGATTGAAATTTTTTAATACCATATTTTCTATACTGCATAATTGCTTATGGCTGCGTTGTTCCCTAGTCACGTTTTGTCCATGGAACAGAGGCTGCTCTCGATAAAAAGCAGTAGTCAGAGGAGACAGGGGTTGCCTACCTCCTCTGTCTCCACTGACGAACCACTACTGCATTTCACGAGCCGCCACTTCCATGAAGGCATCCCATCCCATCATAAAGCTAGTCACGGAATGGACAGCTACTACGACACAACACTTGTTCCACGCATTCACGAGTGTACGAGTGAGGAAGTCATTCCGCACCCCGAGTCTCACTCAGTGGCGTAGCAAGGAGGGTTGCAACGGTGGGGGGGTTAAACATCCCAACCCTGACACAAATGCATCCGACCCCTCCACCCCAACAATTATTTCCCTTTATCTTCTAGGGAAGGTTAGGGAAATTCTATTCCCACATTCCATTCCCCTCCCTCCCCCCGGCGAAATCTTGGCGCTGCCACTTGTCTCCCTTGGGGTTTACGCAACTCGAACTGGTTCCCTCTTGCTTCTACTGCTACCATCAAATTGGAAAGTGTAATGCGGTCCACGTTATATTTTTCCTTAATAGCGGTAAATTACTAGATGAGATCTCTCTCGAGAGTAGGGTCCTAACTTCTCTTGTCAGCATCCAAAATGATTTTCTCCTCATTATGGTGTTCGTAACCAGCCTCTGAACCCACAATGCCGTTGGGTCACTTTATTGTCAAGGTTACTAAATTGAACAAAATGTTTGAGGTTAGGCCTTCCCACTGCTGTATGCAATGCTGCTGTATTCGTATAATGCTTGAGATCTCTCTAATTAAATGTCCCATGAAGTTCAAAATCATTAATGCAGATAACCCCCGACCAGAGACCGGAATCATGAACAATGACAAGGTATATCCTAGAATTGACTCTTGCATGACGTCACCATCCTGCGCGGCTTGCACAAAGCAGGTACACGTCGGATATGATGGATGACGAGTTGATTATCCTGTGTGGCTAACACCCTCGTCCTTATTCCAAATTCTCTCATTTTCGGGTACGGAGTTCGATTGGGTGGAATGGTAGGCAGGTCCATTTATCGTATCATGGCTCGTATATAAGACATCAAGAACCAGAAACAGCTAGGATTAGTCGACAACGGAGGGAAGCTTGGATCGGACGTATCAAGACAGTTAATCTCGGGAAGGAGAAGCTTCTGTAAGAGACTGCTCATAGCTCTTTGTATTACGTTTGTTGGAATATACTGCCGTGGACAGGATAAGAATATTAAGCTTAAGCCGATGTCGTTGGTAGGCCGTCATACAGGGTGTCTCAAAATTCCGGACTCATGGAAAGATTTCATTATTTACCTTTATATCATTGAATGTTGAAATTGCATGCCATGAAGTTGCATACACATACCAATTCTGTCATGTAACCCCCTCTAAATATTGCTTAGTACTTCCATACTTATTTTGGCACATCTCCGTACTTTTTTGCAATTCTGAATGTTCTCCTTCAGTTCGTCGATATTCCGCGGTCGTGAGTTTTAAACCACTGAATTCAGATGTCTCCAAAAGGAAAAAGTTCAATGGCGTGAGATCCAGACCTTTTCTTCATTTTTATTGCCACCCATTTCTTCAATTATCTGAAATTGAAAGAAAGTTTCAATTAACCCCAAATACCTAGTCCGAACTTTTGAGACACCCTGTATACCGGGTGGCCCCCAAAAGTGAGGCCAACTGTCACAACGTTTCATTGACCACAGCATCAACAAGTGGCACCATCGTCTTGAGTGTGTAGTAGGGAGGACACATCGAACATCACATGCTTGTGTGAATGACACTGAATGGTAGGCTTTGTCAAACTTTTTTTTGTGTGTGTGATATTTGAATTTTCGTTCTTAATATGTACATGTAAAAATTTGCAGCGGGCTCACTTTTTTGGGCCACCCGGTATACGGACTCTTCAGAGGCAGATTCTTCGGCTGACTAAAGTTCTATCGGCGATTGAGAAGTACTGCAGGATATTTTCGAGGGTTCACAATCACGTTGTCGCAGATCCTTCATCTTGGCCAGCATCATTTTTGTTCTTTATGGTGGGAATGTAATAGAACTCCAATGGCCCGATCTCCAATTGCTGCTTTTATTGCTTGGTCCACGCGTACTCCTTCAATATGCTTATTGAAATCTGTTCATGTTGGTGTCGGATGTCTTCCTTCTTCTTTTAAATAAAGATTTTTCTCATTCCTTTTTCTTTTGCATGTGGGCTGGGATCATGGCCAATCTGCATTTAGACCGAAATCCCTTATACTTTATAGGGTGAGATTAATTCGGTTCAAATGGGGCAACGGGACTACCGCAATTAAACGCAACGCTTACATTTCCAATTGGGTAGTGTCTAATACCCAATGCCAACATGCATTTATTTATCTTTCGCACAAACATCATGTTTCCTCCTCTGTAAGGATCTTGTAGAATCGTTTCGTCATGGACCCGAGTGGCATGTATTCGTGCTAAATCCGATGGCTTTTGTTTCCATTTGATCTAAGGAAGTTACGGTCATCAAACAGGTTATTCAGTGCCAAAAACAAGGTTTGCTCCTTGGTTTAAGTACTCAACCGTTTTCTTGCTGAATACAAGTGGTTTGATCCTCGTGGAGCGGAACGAATAAAAATGGAATGACGCGGAATCGATTGAGTGTCGACCAATCCGTGGTGTCGGAACGACCGGGACCGGAGAGACGCTGTGGAACTGGATGCCCTCACTGACGTTCATCATTGTTAATTAGTTTGAAAACGAGAAATAGATCTGTCTTCCTCCAAGGGAGGAGAGGGAGAGACATCTACTGGGTTGGACAAGGGTATGGAATGGATGGGTATTAAATTCCTGTTTGCACCTGCATTTTGTTTTTTTTTTTAAATCAAATGTTCATGAATGAAGTAAAGGTTAAGGTTCGAATGCTGAAATCTCCTTTGGTTAACGGTCCTTAAAGACTACATTGATTCCTATGATGGAAAAATAGCTCTTTAGCTTAAAGGCCCCCTTATCTCCCTTAAATGAAGTTTATGCATTTGCGACTTACACACAGAAAATTCAGTGCCTCAGTTTGATGCATTTTTCTTGCGAAAAAATCTTTCCTCCACGTGATGCGTCTTTATCGCATCGAATTTTGGATGCGGTTATCGCATCACATGGAGGACAACTTTTTTGCGAGAGTCGCAATCGTTGCATGAAAGGCCTATGGTTTGCTCCTCTCACTTTCTCGAGCCATCTCAGCGAGAATGTGTTACGGTAGACTACCACGTGCTTCTCTGGAGTTATTCTTAATATACCACGGAAGATCTGTCAGGGGCTACTTTTCATGCGCCAACAAGTAGAGCACATGTTCATTCCACATCATGTCCAGTAATCGTCCACCACCAATGGGGCATTTTTATTTTCCTCAAAGAAGCAGCTGTCACTGCTTCAGTCGCATATCATTATAAAAATATAATGAAAACATGCATAACACTCAATACGGAGGGTGGAATCTGGCACCGAGTTTAAAGTAAAATCATGGATGAAACTGAAATATAATATTAGGCATCCACGGTGATGAAGGGCTAGACCGGACCTTCAAAGGATACAGGAAATACGCAGTTTTCGGACGGATTGAATTCGTACACAGTGGTTGACTTTTTCTGATGAATCAGGGGAGCAGGGCAAGACGAGTCTACGATCTCGAGGGCAGGAGAGACTTTCCGAAAATATTTGCGGGTGCACCAATTGATTCAAGATTATAGGATACAAATACTGGTGTTCTTTAACGTCAGACAAACCTATTGTGGGAATATAGTGGCTTTTGAGCTTAAAGCCCGAATGCACAAACCTAATTTAGGAGAGATAACGGGGCCTTTTAGCGAAGGAGCTCTTTTTCTCCCATAGGAATCCATGTATTCTTACAGGACTGTTAACTGTCTATAGTTAACAGTCGGATCTTGCTATAATGGCGATACGTGGTGCACCACCAACGCACCAAACGGAATACAAACACCGTACGAAACTGAACTCGAAGAATGAAGTAAGCGGTTAGATGGAAATCCCTTCGAGACGCACGAGCTACTCGCACGGGTCGAAAGGAAGGTGATAGGGAGAAGAGGCCATGCACTCAGGCGGTTGCGTGTGAATCCCTCGGCTGTTTATGCATTACTCCGAGGGTTCATGGGGGGGAGGGCAGGAGAGGCCTTCCAAGGCACGATGAAGTGGAAGACGGAGGTTGACATGGGTCTAGACGATGCAAGACCAGTCAAACCACCCTCTCGACTCGGCTATAGACTCATTTCGGTTTTGCAAACGCCCTTTAGGCGAGCCGGCACGGTCGGGAAGTGAGAGATATACATCGAAAATCCAGTTGATGTCTTTTTCTCTTGAGAAAAATAAATCGAAATGCGAAAATTGAGAGAAGCATATCATCTCGATTTACCGATTTCTCTGAGTGTAGGGTGGATTTTTGAACAGAGCACTATCCGATAATGCTGATTTATTTCAGGAAATATCATGCATTTTCCCTGGAATAAAGCTGCATTATCGGATAGTGTTGTGTTCAAAAATCCACCCTTAGTTTCTACAAGTCTTAGTCTTAGTCTGCACAAGGGTGACCCTTGTGCAGACTAAGACTTTTGATTTTGTTCATTTGAGAAGATTCATCTGAGTGATCCATTTGTAATTTCTGCTTTCACCTGTTTTGCCTTTTGATTTGTGGAACAGTCATAAAATTTATGATCGTCTTCTTCTACTTGCAAGTTTCCACGTCCGGAAGACCGTGGTTGTGATTCAGATCATTGATGTTTTTTGGTGCAACGAATTTTTAAAGAGGGGAATCCAAATGATTGAGAGTTTTGCAAGACCTAATGAGTACGCACGCCATTAGGAATACTGAAGAGCTGTCCTCCTCACCTTATTTCTTTCATTATTCGAAGAGTTCTCACCCCACCTCCTTCTAATTGTTTATTTATTTAAAAACATGAGGTGACAAAAAGGAACTGTTTTCCGTCAGGGTGACTGTATACCCTTAATGTGATCTTTTGCCAGTATTTCCTTGCCTCCTAAGGTTATGCGCTGCATTGGTTTTATTTTCTACAACAGCATTAAGAGTAGATTTTCTCGTAGATTTTTCCGCCCATGAAGGTGCCATCTGCATTGAACTACTGACAAGTTAATTTGATAATATAGAAACCACAAGAAACTGGTGAGCAGTTCTCCCTTCTTGGCAAAAAAAAATACAACAAAACATTTTCTGATGTTCCACAACGTGTTCTTTTTGTACGAGGATCCTTCCTAAGAAAGAATCCTCATACATTCCCCTTCCACGTGTAGGATTCTCGACATCGTTTCTAAGGGAAAAGAGAATACATTCATCGATTATTCAAGGAATATGGGTTATGAAAGAGAGAACCAAAAAAAATGAAAAAAATTATTCTCATTATAACATGCAATGATATCGGACTCTAAGGATACTGACATTGTAGTCGCGGAGTGAACCAGGTGGACAAGGTCTGTTTTCGGACGAGAAAATTATTGTAAAAAGTTCAGTGGGAGTGGCGCAGAACGGCTGTAGCGTTTTCCAGTTCAGCATGAATAACCCGACTTTACACGGTCCCGGATGACCTGCACAGTACACAGACACTAGCGTGAATAAGGCTGCAAAATTCCAGTGAAGAAATAGGAATTGGGAACCAACGAAGAGGATAACACTGTTTATGATGAGGCCAGAACGCCTCTCCATCCGGGCATTTTCTTTCCTGACATTCTATCGTCTTCGTGTCTCCATTCGCCACCAGCACTTTCCCTGTTCAAGAAAGATGTTCATAAGACAGGGATCTTAATATAGAATGGGCCAAAAAAAAGTCAGCTATCTTTATCACTCCGCAGCACTAGTCCCCAAGAGTTTGCTAAAAGCACCTCCGTATAGAACATTCATTCAGCTTTCCAACGATGTCAACAGAATAAAGGATCGGTGACATAACTTTCATGTGGTTAGGTAAAAAGTATATATCAGATGTGGCGGTGGAAAAGTTGGTGCCATGCCGCGATGGCATGCAAGAGGTCGCCTACTCGTCATAAGCAAAGGAATGGACGTCACCTGGAACACATCTTATAGGGTACTGGTAAGAGCACTTTTCAAGCTCTAATTCTGTTACACTGTGCGTAACGGCATCGAAATGAAGAATTCAATCTTAAATATTTTCACATTAGTGGAGAATTTGATAAATGTTCTATATAGAGCAGCTATTGCAATAGTGCAATATTTTCAAACTCTCGATAAACGCTTCGACTGAGAAGCGTTAAAGATAACTGGACAAATTTTTTTGCCCAACTTGTATTTCCTCTTTGATGAAAAATATTTTCTTACCTTTTCCGCAGGGTCCCTGGGAGTAGACTTTATGGCATTGTCCATCGCTAGGCCAATAGACTCTGTAGAACTCACATTCGCATTCAACAATCACGGAATGGTTCTTCAAAGGGTACCAACCTGGTGGGCAGTGACCCTCTTCGTTCGGTCTCACCACACATGTCCCATCGCTCAGCTTCACAGACCCCATTGGGCATGGCAGAGCTTTGCATCTCAATTCCTCGACCGTCTCTGTTGTGTTCCTTTCTTTGTTCAACTTTTGGACTTCGGTCAATTCCAGTCGATACCCCTCAGGACAGGGTTCCACTCCCAAGGGTTCGTAACAGCATTTCCTCCGAGTCGAAGTGGAGTCCATACATGTCTCGATGATGTTCCTGTCGTCCGTGCAGTTATTAAGCGAATCCACGCATGTGCAGTTGTCGTTCGGACAAGGACAGGATGGGATATCGATATTTTCCCCAGACGGATTCATTCCTCCTTCGTTGGTTTCGTTCCTCCTCGCTTTTTCAGTGTCCACCATCTTCAACGGAGAAGTCTGATTTGCGTCTGCATGGAAAGACTCGATTGAAACAAAGAAATACTTTTTTTTTAATAATAAGGTTCAATTAATTGGACTAACCAGTGCTGTGCGGCAAGATTTTGTGCGGAAATTTGAAGCAGGAAAGGGAAAAATGGAGGGTGGAGAAGACGAAGGACAGAAGGAAGAGGATGCCGTTCATCTTTATAAGTATAGAGACGGAGAGGTGATTGAGGACCAGACGTATGCAGTGACCCTCTCAAATTTAACCCTTGATTGTACAAGGTTCAAGTCGGGTGAGAGGACGCGTTCTTGCACTTTTGACATCCCGTGTCAAGGTCGAACGTTCATTTACAGGGTGGCTCATAAGTCCCAGGCCGCTGTACAAACTATAGTTTAAGGGGGTCGGTGTGAGCTCCGTTATTGTTATGATTCAGTATGATTCTTCGCCAAGTTCTGTAGGACATATGTCACAGCATTGCAGGATTCACTGTGCAAAAAGTTTCCCTCATACTCTCATCCACACCTTGGTTGCGTTGCTCGGCAACTCTTTTTTTCGCATAGCCTCATAGGCTGTTATCACACGTCGTGAGGTCTGGGGTTCTTGTAGGTCACAACAGCCATGGAGACGACCCCCCAACCCAGCGGTTAGGAACAATTTGGTTAAGGATGGAAATGTTGCTGATGGTGCGCCGGCGCGCAACACATTCATGCGACCTGGAACTTAAGGGCTACCCAGTATAATACGAGAGGCCTATCTCTCTTAAATATAGAAATTCTTAAGTAGCTTATTCCCCCACAACTACCTTTTCACTTTTTGTCCATGGAACAGTGGTGGCTCTTGATGTGCAACAGTAGTCACTGGAGACAGGGGAGGTCTACCTCGTCTGCCTCCACCGACGAACTACTACTGCATTTCACGAGCCACCACTGCCATGAAGGCATCCCATCCCATTGTGACGCGAGTCACGGAATGGGAAGCTACTACTACACCGCACTTGCTCAATGCATTCACTACCATACGAGCGTACGAGTGAGGAAGTCATGCCGCACCTGGGGTCTCATTCAGTGGCGTAGCAAGAAGGGGGCAGTGGTGGTAAGGTGAAACCCTGATCCAAGCGCATCTGCAAATCCCAATAATTTCCCTCTATGTCAAAAGGAAGGTTACGGAAATTCAAGCCCCACTTTCCGTTCACCACCCTACTTCCCCTTTGGCGAGATCCTACTATGCCGCTCGTGGCACTTCGTGTTTACGCAACTTGAACTGGTTCTCTCTCGCTCCGGCTGCGTGTCCGGTATTTTTCATTACGGTCGAATCCCCGATCCGATTTTTACTTGAACGAAATTTTTCCTTTAAAGCAACCAGTACTCATCAGCCATCAGTTTTCTTCATTCTTCAGTCAGTACTTGACAAGAAATATACGTCCTGCAAAAATTTCAAGCACCTGATCCGTCTATGCATCACATCCGTCAACCAACCACAGTAATGCACGTTATGCAACACACCTTGAAAGGAAGCTAGTCCGATCAATCTGCCCCTCCGTACATTGCTGGACCAAGGTCTTAATTCTGAGGTCGAGGTTACAATATTTCTTCAGCCTGTGAGGCGGAGCGCCTCCAACAAGGAGTTGAGCAATCTTCACTTCATTCGAACTCTGTTCCCTCTGAAGAACATCGCGGAACTTGAAGAGGGCCTCCCCCCACGTTTTCTCCTTGTTCTTCCCACGCACGTGTTCCCCAAGTAACCTAGGAGTACTCCATACTTCCATGTCTGTTGGAATACTCCGTTCGGGAACGGAGGGGAATTTTCCTTCGTATTTTTTTTTCTTTGAGGAATAAACCGTCAGCAGAAACTCCTTCGGGGAAGTCTCCTTTCGAGGAAAAAGCCCTCCTGCCATAAGACAGTTCTGAGAAAAGTTCGCTCTGGGAAAATTCCTTTCGGGGAATAAACCGGTCTGGGAATTATCTTTCGGGGAAGAGCCCGTAAATCCTCTAGCTGCTACCATCGAGTAAGAAATATCTGGTGCTGTCCGCGTTATATTTCCCCATAATGATGATAAATTACTACAGTAGATAAGGCCTCAGCTCTCTCTCTAGAATGGAATCCTAACTTTTCTAATAAGCATCCATTATGGAAATCCTCCCCATTATGATTTTTGTAGCACGCCTTACTGTCAGGCTTACAAAATTGAACACAATGCTGGAAATGTAGTCTTCCCAATTTGCATACAACATAGCTAATGCTTCGCTATTTTTTTTACACTGGAATGCCGTATGAAGTCCACCTATTACATATAGATGACCACAGAGCAGAGACCAGAATCACAAAGGACTAGGCGTATTCTGGAATAGTAGATATATTATCTACAGAAGCAGGTTCTTCTGCTGATTAGTTTAATCCGTGATTGGGCGCAGATACTTCATCTTACTCTACATCATCTTTGTTGGGTAGGGAGTGGTGACGGGACGGTGCTAGAATTCCAATAACCCGATCTCCAAGTGTTGTTTTTATTACTCGGTCCACGGCAGTGGCGCAACCAGCCCTTAAGTTTGAGGGGAGGGGTGGAGGGGTTCCGCGAAGTTCTTATGACCGGTCTTTCAAATTTCAACCTTGTCCGCAGGGTCCCTGGATGTTGAGTTTATGGTAGTCCATCGCAAGGCGAATAGACTCTATAGATCTCGCACCCGCATTCAACAATCCCAGTGGTATTCTTCGTATAATACGAACCTGGTGGGCAGTGACCCTCTTCGTCCGATCCCATCACTCAGCTTCCCAGATCCCATTGGGCATGGCAGAGCTTTGCATCTCAATTCCTCGACCGTCTCTGCTGTGTTCCTTTATTCGTACAAGTTTTGGACTTCGATCAATTCCAGTCGATACCCCTCGGGACAGGGTCCCACTTCCTAGGGTTAGCAGCAGTGTTTCCCCCGAGTCAAAGCGGAGTCCGATACTTTTTCTATTCAAAAAAGATACAGCCGAGCAGAAGAGAGAGAGAGAATTTCATATTGTCTTAGATGTAAAAGATTCGTCTAATTTCCTCGCACGGTCCCTGCGTATAGTCTTATGGCATCATCCATTTTGGGGCCAATAGACGGGAATTCGGGAATCCTAAGTGAAACCTCACCAATTAGGAACCTGCAAGATGGGCAGAGCCTCTTCGCGTCTTTTCCGTTTGCGTGTCTTGTTTTGTTTCACCGACCTTACTGGGCATGATTGAGGATTACATCTCGTTCCCACGACAGTCTGTTTTCTTTATCCTCTTTATGGATTTCGGTCTATCCCAGTCAATATCCCTCGCGACAGGGTCCCACTTCCATGGTTTCATTGTAACATTTCCTTAGAGTCGAGGTTAAGTCCTGATCCATCTTGACGTGACTTTGTCCATGCTGCTGTTGAGCGATCCATGGTATGAGCAGTTGTCGCTTGTTCAGGGACATGATGGGATATCGATCTTTTCCACCGACAGTTTCTTTCTTGTTTGTTCGTTCCCTCTAATGAACTTTCTCGAACGCCATTGGATCGCATTTATTATGAAGATATTCCCAGCACCGCATAGAACATGAGAATGATGCGTTAGCTTTTTGCACCGGAACGCTAAATGAAACCCAAAAGCCCATTACATGCAGATGACCCTCGACCAGAGGCCGGGATTGTAAAAATGGACAAGGAATATTCTGGAAGAATAGAAAATTTCATTGGCAAGTCATACGGCTGACTAATTATAGTTCCATCGGTGAGATGGAAGAGTGAAATGAGCTCCTCACATTTCTCGTAGAAATCAATTGAGGAATTCGCAAAGTAAGGCGGCATTATAAGGTAAGTTCAGTCAATGGAGTACTGCAGTGCATTTTCAAGGGTTCGCAATCACCATTTGGCAGATTCTTCATATTAACCTGCATCATCTTTATTGGGTCCGGAATGGTGACGGAGATGTGGTTGATGTCTAGTGATCCGATCTCCACTTGCTGCTTTCCTTGCTTGGTCCACGTGCATTCCTTCAAGACGTTGCTTACAATCTATTAATTCATGAGGAAGGGAGTTCACAAGTTCACTTCTTGGGGCGAATCGAACGCTCATAAGCCATAGGTCAACTTATTCCTTTCAATCCATGAGAAGCCGAGAAATTTCGCGCCATCCCTCTTCATGAATTCATTGCGGAAAGTTAATCAATTATTCTCTAAGATATTCCTCGCGCTCACCCAAGAATGATGTGTAAGACGGGGAGATGACAGAAGGAGGAGCGTGTGAAGGGGTGGATCCTCACTTGGAGAGTGAGGGAGTTTTTCTCACCTCGACACATCGGGTGACTCAAAAATCATTTGGAGTTTAATCCACGAATATTACGATGTACAGTCGACTCCACATAATGGAATACCGCTTAGGGGAATGCTCGGCTTTATGGAATAACATTGTACGATTTACTGTAGGATACAGCAGATAGTTTCGGTTATTGGAATACTCCAGATTTTAGAATGAAGTTCGTTGGTCCCGTGAGTATTCCAACGTACGGAGTCGACTGTTATTGGGGTTTTAGAACCAGAGAAACGATCTTTTCTACAGAAAATGTCAAATTAGCGATTGCGTCACTGTGCGAAACCTGAGTACTTGTTCCGCGCACGAAGGCTCTGGCTTTACTTTTTTTCCAACTGAAAAGACGAAAGCAGATAAAGTCACTCATTACAAGTTGTGCGAAAAATCAAAGGTGTTTGAACGGCTAATTTTATGGAAAGTTTTTTGGAAAAGTACCTGCATATACTAGATATGACAGAAATTTCTGAAGTTGCACAACGTGTTCTTTTTGGACGAGGATCCTACCTCAGAAAGGATCCTCATGCATTCCCCCTCCACTTGTAGGGTTCTCGAACATGCAAGATCAGACTCTAAGGACAGTAAGGGATACTGACATTGTAGTCGCGGAGTGAACCAGGTGGACAAAGTCTGGATTTGGGCCCGATGGATGAAACGAATGAAGTACGTCTAGATGGCGGAAGAGGATCGGCACAGAATGACTGTAACGTTGTCAGGTCCAGCATGAATATCTTGTCATCCATCACACGGTCCCTCTTGAACTGCACAGTACATAAACGTTAGCGTGAATGGGACTGGAGGAAACATTCGATAAAGAACAGGTTGGGCGAGCCCAGTCCAGTAGTGAGCCTCCTTTCAGTTAAGGAAACCCTCATTTTGTCACCAAATTAAGCAAGACGCCATCTCTTTCCGGTCTTCGACCATCAAAAACCTCATTTCTCATTTATATTTGGTAAACTTAAACAAACGATGCCCATGAAACGATGGAGGGCTGTGCGTGGTTGGCTCCACCCACCACGGAGGTTGGTAGAGAACTGACAGGTCTGGTTGCTGATACGGCGCCGCGCCCAAATCCTGGGATGTACGCGCATGCGCATTGTAGAACAGAACCTGAAGGACTCACGGGTACACATACCTTCCCCTCAGTGACCAAATTTCAAATCCAAAATTTGCAATAAAAATGCCAATTTTGGTGCAAATTCACCACAAAACGAACTCGGCCTGTATCTTGTTCATATCTACTTGCTTGCCAATTTTCGCATTGATCAGGCCAGAGCCGGATTAAGGGGAGGGGGGGGGGGGGCAAAGGGGGCTGTTGCCCCGGGTCCCACCCTTCCAAGGAGAGGGGGGGGGGGGGGGGGGGGGGGGGGGGGGGGGGCAAAGGGGGCTGTTGCCCCGGGTCCCACTCTTCCAAGGAGGCCCTCCTAAAAGAAATTAACGTTAAATATTAGCGTTAAATAGCGGGGGAGAGGGGGGGGGGGGGGGTGGCCCCAAGAATCCACTTGCCCCGGGCCCCGCAACTTCTTAATCCGGCCCTGGATCAGGCCAATATTTTTTCGTTATCGTCGGGCAACAAAAGTGTAACACACGGACACACGGACGAACAGAACGGGACCATAAGTGGTCTCTTTCCTTTCAGGAAAGGAGGCCCACTAAAACGAGATAAGGGAGCTAACGCAGAGGATAACACTTTTCTTGGTCAGACCAGAACGCTCATTCATCCAGGCGGATTCTTTCCTGACATTCTATCGTCTTTGTGTCTCCATTCGATACCAGCACTCTCCCTATTCAAGAAAGATGTTCATAAGACAGTAATCTCAATATTTTTCTTCTTTGATGAAAGAGATTCTTTCTACCTTCTCCGCATGGTCCCTGGGTGCAGTGTCTATGGCATTGTCCATTGCTCAGCTTCACAGAACCCATTGGGCATTGCAGAGCCTTGCATCTCAATTCCTCTATCGTCTCTGTTGTGTTCCTTTCTTCGTTCACCTTTTAGACTCCCGTCAATTCCAGTCGATACCCCTCAGGACAGGGTCCCACTTCCAAGGGTTCGTTCATGTTTCGGTAATGTTCCGGTCATCTGTGCTGTTATTGAGCGATTCCAGGCTCGTACAATTGTCGTTCTGACATGGACAGTATGGAATATCGATATTTTTTCACCTACGGTTTCATTTCCCCTTCGTTGGCTGCGTTCCTCTTCGTGTTTTCCTTCTCTACCATTTTCAGTTGAGAAGTCAGGTTGACGTCTGCGATGGAAAGACTCGATCGGGACACAGAATATTTTCTTTCGTGAGAATGTTAGAAGAAAGTCAGATGAATTGGTCTTACTGGTGTTGACCGACGAGATTTTGTGCGGAAACACGAAGTCGGAAAGGCAAAACTGGAGGGTGGAGAAGACGAAGGGCAGAAGGAAAAGAAAACCGTTCATCTTCACTTGTAAGGAGACGAGAGACGAATGAGGATTAGAGGTATGCAGTTTTCCCTTCAAGACTCCAATTGGTTTCTACTTCAAAGCCAATTTGTAAACGTGACCGATATCATCCAATAGATGGGATCTCCTTGGCTCGTGTATGTATCGTGTATACATTCGAAAATAACCGGTTCTAACCTAGTAATACAATATGACAGATGACTAGATCTCAGTGGAAAAGGGGAAGGTACCACGCCCGATAAGTTCTCGGCCTCACCACTCAGGCTGCGCCGGTCTGCCGCAACCTCACTAAGAATAATTCGCTGCACTTACAGAATGAGTCAATGGATTTTGATGTAACCGTACTTATATGTGCTCATTTGATGCATTAGTCAGCCCTCAAATGCGCACAAGCATAGTCTGAACCAATTTCGAGTAGCTACAAATTGAAAACTGTTCCAACATTTTTTGAGAGTGCACATGAACTCCTATGGGAGAAAAAGAGCTCTTTAGTTTGGAGGCCGCTTCATTTTCATGAACGAAGTTTTTGCGTTCGGGCCTAAATACTTTGGGCTTCAAATTTGCGTTGTACCACGGCGAGGAAAACTGCCTTGATTGCGCAAATGTTGCTTGAATTAGGTATGGCTTGTTCTTAGCTTTACACATTTTTCCCCTAAGCTTCCAGTTACTTTGGATACCAACACAAAGTCACGTCGCAAAGCAGACAACTCCTGATTGCTTGTACTTAGATGCACTTGACTGCCTTAACGAAACCTTCCTAGTGGACAACCATTCATTATTATCTAGGTAACTGTATGGATGAGGGCTGTTGAGAGTGATGATTAGGGAGCGGATTTTTATGCGCTAATAAATCCTAAAATATGCACTTACATATGCGCTTAAAATGCCAAAATATGCGTGAGATATGCACGAATATGGGAAAATATGAAAAAAAAATTTTTTTAACGCAGTACGAATTTTTCGGAAGAAGGAACTTTGGTCTATTCTTGTCACAGCCAGCGACGAAGTCAGGAATTCGCCAATGGAGGGCTAAGGGAAACGAACGGGGACTAGAATTTCCTTAACTTCTCTGGAGGGGTGGAGGCGACGGATGAATTTAGAGCAGAGTTAGGGGGCTTCACCTCCTCACCCCCCCCCTCCCCCCCCCCCTCGCTACGCTGCTGGTCGGACTTCATAACTGCATGAAAATTTTCATCGGTAGCTCATAAAATTAGGGCAGAGTTAGGGGGCTTCCCCTCCTCCCCCCCCCCCCCCCTCCCCTCCCCCCTCGCTACGCTGCTGGTCGGACTTCATAACTGCATGAAAATTTTCATCGGTAGCTCATAAAGATAGCACATTTTCCTGGAAAACCATTATTTTTCCCATAAAAATGGGCGAAATATGCATAAGCATGCACATATATTGAATATATAGAAATATGCACATGCTGAGAAAAACGTGAAAACATGCATTTTTATGCGTTTTTAAAATGGCATAAATGGCTTCCTCTACCAATGAGACATGATTCTATCAATATCTGGGCTGCATGTTCATAGGAGGCTGCAAAAAAAATATGCATTTGCATAAAGATCCGCTCCCTAGTGATGATAGGTCTGCGAGAAACACCACCACCTGGTATCGCAAGGATTGGTAAGCTTTGAGAAAAAGACTTCAGAATTGGAAAAACCGGGGAAAAAAACAACCATGATGAAGGCGATACGGATCCACATAAATGAAATATAAAAAACGCGATTTTTATCAATGCTGCGAATGTCCCGAAATAGGCCCCCATTGAGTTCTCTCATCTTCAAATTTTATGTTTTGAAATTGTATTCAAGTTTCATATTTTCTTCTAAAAAAATTTGTAATTTAAACATTAATTATCCTGATCACAGTTGAACAACACACACTCAACGGTTATTACATTTGAGAATTCATTTTGATGTGCTGCAATGTCATGCAAGGGAATTCGTTTAGTATTTGTTTAATTTCGTAGATATCATCTTGCGCATAAGTCACACGGTCAAAAATGCAAATTTTATTGTTTTAAATGAAAAGTACAAAGGAAGAAAAATCTCCATAAAAATTAAAAGCTCATGTAAACTTAAATATAATAGCAATGCAGCCTTAAACTTTTTGGTTGACTTTTCTGTGGCTTTGTCTCGGGTGGCTTTTTTCCGCTCATACAAACTCTGTGGTAATTTTTTTCCGGGTGACTTTTAGCCGAACCCCAAGCCGAGGATGGGCTTAATTATTCTGGAAAATTCGACGGGAACCAGTTTCCCAAAAGGAGGGAAAGGTCAACACTTCAACATGTCGGATGGAAGATCGACTGGCTTGCCTCGAAACACTTCTCTCAAGGTTGATGGGTACAGAGGAGGGTCACAAGAATGATGAAGGAGGTTAGGGGACATCGTACGAGAATATTTTAGAAGTGTTGGGACTGTACTTGCTCGAGAGAAGGTTGAAGGGAGGCGATCTCATCCAGACTTTCAAGACCATTAAAGGAATAGATCATGTCGAGCGTGGTAGGTTCTCCCAGTTCGATGGCAGCAAGATAAAACGAGAGGTAATTAACACAAGTTGCGCAACCTTCAGGTGCGGCTCAGATCGAGACAGGACTACTTTACTTACAGGGTGGTGAGCATGTGGAAATGCGTTAGATGACGACGTAGTGGCTGCCCCTTCCGTGATTATTTTAAAGAAGAGACTAGATATTTTTATAGACAAAGCAAAAAAGGGGGCGATGTAGTCATAAGGGACCATGCAGTAAGCGACAAAGGATATGCTGAAAAAAAGAAGCTAAAATTACAAAAATGCAAAAATATTTAGCTTTAACAGGAGTAGGTCTTAGGTCTATCCTACAAGCAACATGGCGCCCATTGTGCCTTGTGCCTCCAAGGAAGCCCGGCGTGCTGTAATTCAACTTCTCACTGCTAAAGGTATATCACTCATTGAAATCCATTTCCGAATGAGTGCTGGTGACACCAACAGCTTCTTACCGCAGCGGCGCTCGTACAAGTAGTACAAACGTTTCCGAAGCGGCCCGAGAGTTTGAAGGATGATTCACGCCCAGGTCAGGTCAACGACGTCGCCATAGAAATTATCACAATAGTGGACGAGCTCATACGGAAGAACAGAAAGATTTCACTGAATTATTGACTGCAGATTTTGGAATCTTTAGTCGCAGCTCAATTCACACCATGGTCCGCGTCCAGCATAGCATACCGTCTACGCACGGACGATGGAGTGTAGGAGGCTGTCACGTGGCGGTTCAAACAGCAATCACATAAAATTTACGAGGCTGGTATAAACAATATTGCGAAGCGTTGGAATCTGTGCCTCAACAATGGCGGGGAAAACTTTGAGAAATAACACACTCAGCAAGAAAAAAATTCTCGTTTTCACTTGACTGACCCATGTACTCTCTTCACAGACTCCCTGCGTGTTTTCTTTAGGGCATTATCCATCTGGAACGGGGAGAGTACAATAGACAAGAATAGACTAGAATAAACATCAATAGACATTAATAGTCGCAACAGTCATGGTAAGGGTGAGACATGTTCATCCGAGTTAGGAAAATTCGATACTTAGCAAACGCGAACGCTACGTCCAGGCATTCGTGGCAGCATTTCCCCCGAGTCAAGGTGAAGTCCTGATGCATCTTGATGTGATTTTGTCTGTGCTGTTGTTGAGCGATTCCTGGCAGGAGCAGGTGTCGTTTGTACAGGAACACGATTGGATGCAAATATTTCCAGCCGACGGTTTCTTTCCTTCTTCGTTCGTTATCTCTGATGAATCTTCTTGAAAACCCGTTAGATCGCATTTATTATCGAGATATTCCCAGTGCCGCATACAACGTGAGAATAATGCGTGAGCTCTTTGCACTGAAACGCCGAATGAAGCCCAAAATCTCATTACATGTCGATGACCGCCGACCAGGGACCGGGATTGTAAACAAAGACGAGGCATATTTTGGAAGAATAGAAAGATTATCTTCAGAAGCAAATTATTTGGCTGACTAATTATAGTTCGATCGGTGATTGGACTCCCAATGAAATGAGCTCCTCACTTTTCCCACAGAGATCGACTGAGTAATTCACAAAGTAAGGCGGCATTGTAAAGTAAGTTCAACCAAGGGAGCAATGCAGGGCATTTTCGAGGCTTCACAATCACCTTGTTGCAGATTCTTCATCTTGGCCAGCATCATTTATGTTCTGTACGGCGGGAATGTGATAGAATTCCAATGGCCCGATCTCCAATTGCTGCTTTTGTTGCTTTGTCCACGCGGATTCCTTCAAGACGTTACTTGTAATATACAGGGTGGTGCAATATACCTGCCCCCCCTACCTTCGGACAAAACCTGCAGAGTTTAACATAAAAAAAAGCAAAAGTTACCCTTGATTTCCTATCATCACACAATATTATGTCGAAAATTTAAATTCTGTCACCAACATAGGCCCTTAAAATGGCCTGATTCTTTCAAGCCGAAATTTCAACAAATTTCGGAGCAAATCAACATCATCTTTCAAAAGTGTGAAACATCATCATCAGTTTATCTTTCATAATCTCGATTGAAAATTTATCGTTTCGTTCTTCATGCATTATTTCTTTCACTCAGTTCTTCACAACTGACCCCACATGCTAACAAATATTGTGATTAGGTAAGTTCCTCGACCATTCTTAATAAGGAGGGTTGCCAATTATATGTGACACATTTATTTTTGTAATAAATCAGGACTGAACAAATGCAAGCTGTTATTATATCAAAGCAAAGTAAAAACATGGGATATTGTCACCACTGTCACAGGTCTACATCTTAAAAATTACATTATTTAAATACTGTCTTTCACAATTGATGGATTCCCTGCATCGAACCATTACATTGTTCATTACTGTAATCAGTGTCTTAACCGATAGCAGCGATGGCTTCATTAATCATGATTTTAAGTTCATCTCCTGATGAACTGTATAAACTATAAACTATAAGTCCTGATTTATAAAAAAAATAAGTTTCAGATATAAATGGCCCATCCTATACAATAAAATCTATGTAGTTTTCCCATATCTTCTGGAGACCGGACATTTCTGTCCTGAGGGTTTCGTGCAATGGTGAGAGCTTCAGAGACCTAAAACCTTCAAACTCAGAATCAATAATGCTCAAGGTCTGGTTCCAGTTCCATTTCCCTCAACTTTCACCTGCATTCAAATTTACCCCAATGAAATTTTCGTGATGAATGTTGCACCATCGTCTGTAGCACAACCATAGCTTCATGTATGAAACATAATGGCTCGCTGTCACCCAAGACAACTTTCATTTTAAAAAATTTCAATGTTGCACATAATATTGCGCGATGATTAGAAAGCGAGGGTAACTTTTGTTTTTGATCAAACTCTGCTGGTTGTGTCGGAAGGTAGGGGGGACAGGTATTTAGCACACCCCTTTATTTCTTTAAGGAGAAGGCCGTTCACAAGTACCTTTCTAGGGGTAAATCGAACTCTAACCTGCCACGGGTCAACTAATTCCTTCCATTCCATGAGAAGCCAATAAATTTTGCAAAATCTCCCTTTATGAATTGCTAGTGGGAAGACTATCAATTATTCTCTATGATATTCCCCATTTTCACCTGAAAATGATTAAACGTGTGAGATGGAGAGATGACGGGAGGAGTATGCGGAGGGGTGAATCCCCGCCCGTAGAGTGAAGGGGCTTTTCTCGCCACTAGACACTATGAGGTGGCTCAAGAGCATGCTAGGTTGGTACCTTTCCAAGACGGAAAGATACCAACTGCAGTGAATTACTGACAAGTTAATTTGATGATAATGAAACCGCATGAAACTGGTGAGTAGATCTCTCTTCTTGAGAAAATGAACATTTTCTGGGTTTCCACAATATATTCCTTTCTTATGAGGAGCCTTTCTTAGGGTGATTAATCCGACCACGAGAAGGATTCTCGACATTGTTTCTAGGGGAAAAGAGAACATATTCGTGAATTAGTTAAAAGATGTGGGTCAAGGAAAAGAGAGAAGCGGAAAGAAAGAAAAAAATTATCCTCATTGGAACATGTAATGAGATCAAAATCTAAGGACGATAAGAAATACTTACGTTGAAGTCACGGAATGAACCAGGTTGACAAGGTCTGTCTTTGGCCGTGATGAAAGCAAGAGCTGTAATAGGATCGGCACAGAATGGCTGTAACGTTGTCAGGTCCAGCATGAATATCCCACCATTACATGGTCCCTCTTGACCTGCACAGTGCATGAACACTCTCGTGAATGGGACTGGAGGAAACATTCCGGTAAAGAAAAAGGGATAGGGGAACTAACGCAGAGGATAACATCGTTCATGATCAGGCCAGTACGCCCATTCATCCGGGCAGGTTCTTTTCTGGCATTCTATCGTCTTCCTGTCTCCATTCACCACCAGCACTTTCCCTGTTCATGAAAGATGCCATAAGACAGGGATCTCAATTTTTTTTAAATTGATGAAAAAGATTCTTCTATTCTACCTTCTCCGCAGGGTCCCTGGGTGTAGAGTTTATGGCATTGTCCATCGCTAGGCACATAGACTCTGTAGAACTCGCACTCGCATCCAACAATCCCAGAGTTGTCCTCCAAAGGGTACCAACCCAGAGGGCAGTGACCCTCTCCATTTGGTTTCACTGCACATGTCCCATCGCTCAGCTTCTCAGAACCATTTGGGCATGGCAGAGCTTTGCATCTCAAATCCTCGACCGTCTCTGTTGTGTTCCTTTCTTCGTTCACCTTTTGGACTTCGGTCAGTTCCAGTCGATACCCCTCGGGACAGGGTCCCACTTCCAAGGGTTCGTAGCAGTATTTCCTTCGAGTCGAAGGGGAGTCAATACATATATTGGTAATGTTCCTGTCATCCGCGCTATTCTTAAGCGATTCCAGGCACGTGCATCTGTCGTTCCCACAAGGACAGGATGGGAAATCGATATTTTTTCCCGACAGATTCATTCCTCCTTCGTTGGTTGCGTTCCTCTTCGTTTTTTCCTCGCCCACAATCTTCAGCTGAGAAGTCAAGTTGACTTCTGCGGTGGAAAGACTCGAATGAAACTTTTTTTTCGTAAGAAAATCAGAAGAAAGTCAGATGAAATGGGCTTACTGGTGTTGACCGGCGAGATTTTGTGCGGAAACTTGAAGCCAGAAAGGGAAAACTGGAGGGTAGAGACGACGAAGGGCAGAAGGAAGAGGAAACTGCCCATCTTCACATGTAAAGAGAAGGGGAGACGAATGAGGACTAGACGTATGAAGTGATCCCTTTAAGACTCAGTAGGCTCTCCCATTGGCTTTCACTTCAAAGCCGGTTCTCAAACGTGACCAATGCTATCTGACAAATGGTATCTCCTTGGGCGTGTCTTTTTTGCTCGCGGCTCTACTAGCTCTGTTGAGGCCCCCAGCATCCGATGACGTCATTTTAAGGCTTAGCTGCTCGGCGTTCTCATAGTTCTCTATGTTCTGCTCGCGGCTGTTTGCCCAATAGTGACGTCACTCAATTACGTGGTCGTGCCTAGTCAGCGCATCTTTTTCGCCAGCAGCTGCTAGGCTGGAGAAAAAGACCCACTCCCTGGCTCGCGTATTCATTCGGAAAATAACTGGTCCTAACCTTATAATACAAAATGACAGAGGAGAAGATAGCATCTCAGTGGAAAAGGGAGTCGTTAGCAAACCAGAATTTTAATTATGAAGGGAGAGGTTCATTTCCTTGAGACAAAGGTGAGCCTAGCGACCATCTGTCGGATAAGAATTACATATCCTATGCAATTCCAATGAAACAGTGCTACTCAGCAATTGATAGCTTGGAGAGTGTGATCGCTAGCATCCCTGAAATTATGCATCCGGAAAGGGAATGCCCCGTTAGGGACAATATCCGGAAAAGACTAAAGACCCGGACAAGCTTCCTACACTGCAAAATTATTATACCTGAATGCTGAAACTTCCTTTGGTTAATGATCTTCTAAGAATACACTCTGTCCTAAATAAAAAAAATTGGAGCATTTTTCAATTTGTTATTTCGTAATTGGTTCACACTATAGCTGTGCGCTTTTGAGGCCTGACTAATACATCAAAGAAAGGTGCATGAAATTTTATAATAAAGTCCATTTATTGGTTCTAGAAATACAGGAAATCATTTAGAGCGTGACAGCAGTGAGTGCAGGCAGAACCGTACAGGGGCCTTCCGTAAAATTCAGTTGTGTGCCTCATACAGGATGGTCGACGTGATGCATACGACCAAGAAAATGAGTCCTTACACGTTTCACATTCGGAAAAGGTGCTGAAAGCGCCCGCCGTCAATCTATACATAGGCACGTGACATCGGTCAGAAATAAGACACTGCACGGTTCACTCTCTCTCGGGACAGGAAAACGATGAGTTACCTCTCTGAATGAGTAAGCTCGCGCCGGTCCGCTGCAACAACCTCATTAAGAATAATCTGCTGCGCTTGCAGAAGGAATAAACTACTTTTGATATGACTTTACATGTATATGCTCATTTGATGCATTATTCAGCTCTCAAATGCGCAAATTCTAATGCAAGCTTCAACTTTCTGGTTTAAGTTTTCTCTGGCTTTGTCTCGGGTGGCTTCTTTCCGCTCATATAAACTCTGGGATAATTTTTTCCGCGTGACTTTTAGCCGAACCCCAAGCCCAGGATGGATGCATGTATTCTGGAAAATTTTTCGGAGGGGAACCAGTTTCCAAAATGAAACGGAAACAACAATACTTTAACATGGCGGATGAAAGAACGGTTGGCTCACCTCGAAACACTTCTCTCGAGGGCGATATTGCGGAAGACGCCCACCCGAAGATGCAACCTGGGTCGGACCTGGGTCGGTCGTCACCTCCTTAAAAACCATTGCAGCGTGGACAGGATCACGACTTTACACGGTCCCAGATGACCTGCACATTACGGAAACGCTTATATATGAATAAGACTGCATGGAACATTACAGCAGAGAAAGGTGAAGAGGGAACTCACAAAGAGGAAACCTGGCCATCTTTTGGCCAGAACGCCTTTCCATCCGGGCTGATTTCCCCCGAGTCGAGGTGAAGTCCTGATGCATCCTGATGTGATTTTGTCTTTGCTGCTGTTGAGCGATTCATGGTGGGAAATGTACTCGCTTGAACAGGGACACGATGGGATATCTTTTCCACCAAAAGTTTCTTCCTCTAATGAGCTTTCTCTAACGCCGTTAGATCGCATTTATTATCTAGATGTTCTCATTGCTGCATACATGAGAATAATGTGTGAGCTCTTTGCACTGGAACGCTAAATGAAGCCCAAAATCCCATTACATGCAAATGACCCCCGACCAGAGGCTGGGATTGTAAAAATGGACAAAGAATATTCTGGAAGAATAGAAAGATTATCTTCAGAGGCAAATTATTCGGCTAACTAGGGATAGTTCTATCAGTGATTAGGAGCCCAATGAAATGAGTTCCTCACATTTCTCGTAATCAACTGAGTAATTCACAAAGAACGGCAGCATTGTAAGGTAAGCCCAACCAATGGAGCACTACAGGGCATTTTCGAGGGCTCGTAATGACCATTTCTCAGATTCTTCATCTTATGCTGCATCATCTTTGTTGGGTACGGAATGGTGACGGAAATGTTGTAGGCGGCTCCGACGTGATTTAACGTTAATGACTATCACGAAGAGATCGCCAGCGTGTTCGAGGTTTATACTGACTCCGTTGACTCCTTAAATATACAACTACTTTATTGTGACAACCGGCTTGGAAAGAGGTCAATAATAATAAGAACCAGGAAATGGATATGGGACAAAATGTCAAAAATTCTGCTCCCTTAACGCGTCTTCTCTCAGGTTTCTCCTCACTATTCTACAATTCGACTCCCTTGTCCGACTCACTCACTTGACATACCTGACTCGACCCGACCCGGCCCGACCTGACCTGACCCTTTTATTCCGTTATGCCGGACATGCGCATTATCTTTTACTGTGATTTCATCATCTTTATAAAAGTACCTCCTACAATGTGATAGAATTCTAGTGATCCGATCTCCACTTGCTGTTTTCATTGCTTGGTCCACGGCGCACTCCAAGACGTTGTCTACAATTTACAGGGTGAGCAAAAAAAGGGACAGTTTTCAACAATACACTACACTTCGCTCACTGCATATACAGGGTGATTCAAAATTATGTATAAACACTTTGAGTTGTTGTATCTCAAAAAGTTTATTGATTGAACATAAACCAAAAATACTTTTACATGCATTAGTTACGTGGAAATGTGATGCACAGAAAAAGTTAGGTCAGATGTTCAAAATGTCTACCACTGGCACGCATGCACAAACAGCATCGTTTCTTAACAGCCCGACATACAGTGGCGCACCTGTCAACTGCGATTTTAAGTGATTCCTGTTGTATAATCTACCGCAAATTCTGCACTGCTTGGGCATATAGCTGTACACTTGGTCCTTGAGGTAGCCCCACACAAAGGAATCTAGAGGGCTGAGGTCTGGAGACCGTGGGAAGGTATTCATGGGCGCTCCCCCGGCGAACTATCCACCTTTCAGGAAATTCAGTATCCAGATAGGTCCGGACATTTATGTGAAAGTGTGGTGATGCACCATCCTATGCACAGCCCATGAATACCCCCCCATCTCCTGACCTCTGCCCTCTAGATTTCTTCATGTGGGGATACCTCGAAGACAAAGTGTACAGCTATATACCTGAAACAGTGCAGAATTTGTGGGGGATGATACAACAGCAATCACTGAAAATCACAGTTGACAGGTGCGCCACTGTATGTCGGGCTGTTAAGAAACGATGCTGTTTGTGTATGCGTGCCAGTGGTAGACATTTTGAACATCTGACATAACTTTTTCTGTGTATCACATTTCCACATATCTAATGCATGTAAAAATATTTTTGGTTTATGTTTAATCAATAAACTTTTTGAGATACAACAACCCAAAGTGTTTATACATAATTTTGAATCACCCTGTATTTTAATGCGATTTACGGCATTTACAAGAGGAATGAATAAGCTTTAAAATGGTGCACTTACGTTTCAAATATCTTCAACAGTTTTAGAAATTCTGAAGCTCATATGAACTGGAAGCAAAAACTGCGTTGTCTTTGTAGCATTGGGGATGGAAGGCGGCGGCTGATGGTCGCATGCCGTATGCGTCCGAGTGCGCGGCAACGCAGTTTTTGCTTCCAATTCATATGAGCTTCCGAATTTCTGAAACTATTAAAGATATTTGAAACTTAAAGTAACTAACGCTTATTCATTCCTCTTTCAAATGCCCGTGAATCGCATTAAAATATATGCCGTGAATGGAATGTAGCGCATCATTAAAAACTGTCTTTTTTTTGGCCCACCTTGTATTACTTTATGAGGAGGAGGAGGAGGAGGAGTTCACAAGTTCATTTCTATGGGCGAATCGAACGCTCACCTGCCACGCATCAACCAATTCGTTCCACTCCATGAGAAACCAAGAAAATTCGCATGATCTCCCTCAATGATCTCCCTGAACGAATGAATTGCTAGCGGAAAGTCCATCAATTATTCTAAACGATATTCCTCCCGTTCACCCGAAAACGATGAGATGTGTGAGACGGGGAGATGACGGAAGGAGGAGCGGGGGGGGGAGGGGGGGGGGGGGGGGGAGGAGTGGGTCCTAACCTGGAGAGTGAAGGGGCTTTTCTCACCCCGACACTACCAGGTGACTAAAAAAAAATTGGAGGTCAATCCACGAACATTACAATGTAGTCGGTGTTTTAGAATCAGAGCAACAATCTCTTTTTGCGGAAGATGTCAAATTAGCGATTGTGTCATTGTGCAAAACCTGAATACTTGTTCCGTGCAGATAATACTGGCCTTGCCTTTTTCCAATTGAGTAAACGAAAGCAGATAAAGTTTTTCAATAGGCATTGCGCGAAAAAAAGGCGTTTGAACGGCTAATTTTATTAAAAGTTTTTGAAAAAGTACCTGCATATACTGGATATGATATTCCGGAAATTTCTTGAGGATTTCTTGTATGGTCTGCCGGGATGTAAAGCTGGAAAGTTGGGCCACACGGTATTACCTGCTGGGAAGGTTTTTGAGGATATCGTCTCAGAAGCATTACTCCAACAATTTCCCATGCTGTAAAACTGAAAGATACCATTTACAGGGAGTTACTGAAAAGTGAATTTGATGATAATGAAACCGCAAGAGACTGGTGAGTAGTTTTCTATTCTTGAGAAAATGAACATTTTCTGGGGTTTCACAATATCTTCCTTTCGTATGAGGACCCTTTCTTAGCCCGGAAAGAAGAAGATTTTTCGACACTGTCCCTAGAGGAAAAGAAACCATATTCCTGGATTACTTAAAGAATGTGGGTAGTGAAAAGAGAGAATCGAAAAGGAAGAAAGAAATTATCCTCGTTATAACATGCAATGAGATCAGAATCAAAGGACTTACGTTGTGGTCAGGTGGAGAATCCATTGGACAAGGTCTTTTTGGGGGCGGGATGAAATTAAAAACTGTAGTAGGATAGAAGCAGGACGGCTGTAACGTTGTCAGGTCCAGCATGAATATCCCACCATTACACGGTCCCTGATGACCTGCACAGTACACGAACACTAGCGTGAATGGGGCTGCATGAAACATTCTGGCCAAGAAGGAATAGGGGAACTAACGAAGTTGATAACACTTCTCCTGCTGAAAAAACACCCATTCATCCGGGCATTTTCTTTCCTGACATTCTATCGTATTTGTGTCTCCATTCGCCACCAGCACTTTTCCTGTTCAATAAAGATGTTCATAAGACAAGGATCTCAATTTTTCTTCTCGGATGAAAAAGATTCTTCTACCTTCTCCGCAGGGTCCCTGGGTGTAGAGTTTATGGCATTGTCCATCGGTAGGCGAATAGACTCTATAGAACTCGCAATCGCATCTGTCAATCCCAGTGGTATTCTTCGTATTGTACCAACCAGGAGGGCAGCGACCGTCTGCGTCCGGTTTCACCACCAGGCATGTTCCATCGCTCAGCTTCACAGACCCAATTATGCATGACAGAGGTTTGCATTTCAATTCGTCTACCATCTCTGTTGTGTTCCTTTCTTTGTTCAACTTTTGGACTTTGATCAATTCCAGTCGATACCCCTCGAGACAGGGTCCCACTTCCAAGGGTTCGTAGCAGTATTTCCCCCGAGTCGAAGTGGATTCCAGACACGTCTCGGTGATGTTCCTGTCGTTGTTCCTGTCGTCCGTGTCGTTGTTGAACGATTCCAGGCACGTGCAGTTGTCGTTCAGACAAGGACACGATGGGATATTGATATTTTCCACCGAGGGTTTCTTTCTTCCGTTTGTTGCGTTTCTCGTCACAGTTCCCATGTCAACTATATGCAACGGAGAAGTCGGGTTGACACCTGCGACGGAAAAAATCGATCGAGACAAGAAAATAATTTTTACGTAAGGAGATCCGATGAATTGCACTTACCAGGCTCTGGTGGGATTTCATCCCGAAACAGGACGTGTGAATGAGAAAAATGGAAGGTAGAGGAAAAGATGCATAGAAGGAAGAGGGAACTGTTCATCTTCACTTGCGTGGAGACTGAGAGATGCACTAGGACTAAGCATATGTAATCGTCTTCGTGTCTTCTCCGATCTTTTCCCATGCGTTGGCGTAGCAACACGAAGAGCTAGTTACACCCCATGCATTTTAAGGCGCGGGCGTGACCTTCCTCTTTGTCACGCTGAGTTTAACTACCTCTGCTTATTATATAATGGAAATTGATTCTTGGGGTTTTTTAAAATAAAATAATGAACACAGCCGTACGCCTCTCCGATATTCTATTATGTGGGCCGCTTGGTTAGGCGGGATTTTAAGTATCTACGCGACCGAGAAAAGGCTATAAATATTTCATGAGGCTAACCCTCGCCATGTCCCGTCTCAAGGAGAAAGCCCTTTTAGGTCAAGAACAAGGCTCCTAGGTATATTTCACCCGAAAGAACGAGCAACATTTGAAAAATGTCTTATTGCCGGAGTCTCGAGTTTTAGTTCCGGAGGAACTGAATCTTGCAAGTCTGGCACTTCAGGACCTCGGCACTCAGGGATAAGAAATCCATTTATTCCTTTTTGGGTTTTTCATTGCTTTATCCTCTTTTCTATTTGGATATTGAAGGGTAGCTTCCGCACACTTCCTACCTGCATGGTTCGAGTTTTCAATGCAACGAAAGATCATCAATCATGGACTTAATTTAAATCGTATACAGTATTGAACTTATTAATCTGTTTAGTTTGAGAGGTTATGTGGCGATGATGTAATTTTCACAATACAAATGCCATCTAATGGCTATGAGAGAAAATAAAAGGGAAGGGAAAAAAAGAAACAAGAATGTTTCACAAGAATCTTCGGAGACCCGCAATAATTCACATGCTATAATACCATGCCCCCAAAAAACGCTGATTAGTTAAATTTCATTACTCAACGTAACTTACGTAACCAAAGGTAAGCATAATAATTGTAATCATGAGCTACTTTATTTAGCTTGTACATCGAGGAATCTACAATATACAAAGAGGGCATAAATAATCCCACCTAATTAAAGTCCTGTATTTCCTGCACTAATTATTCTCATTGAATGAACTGAATATGACACATGACATGACATGAATATGAACGACATACGAAGACCCACTGTAACACAGTGACACAGAATATATTCTGTGTCTACAGAATATATTCACAGAATATATTCTGTGTCTCCCTTTCTTGATGGCGAACCGGAATCTTCGAGTTCACTGATCGATTGCAATGAACAGGACATCCTTCCACTCCCCCTTTCAGCACAGGCTTTGGTCGATTCTGGTCGCTGGATTTCATTTTTGGACATTTACTTCCAGCACACTCCATATACAGTGTAGGATCACGGGGTTGTAATGGGGCCGTTCATATTTGTTGGTAATTTCTGTTACACGGTCTGCTACTCAGAATCCCATTCAGCATAGAGCAATATGCCTCGGGGTGGTATTGATACACCCAAGGTGTATTGATACACCTATTGATACACCCAAGACTGTCCACCAAAGGCCGAACTCTTTGCATTATGTGTTTTTTTTCTTTGCATTTCTTGTACATGCAAAAATATATATAAATTTTGGCGGTATAGATATTTAATATGATAAATATTTGGAATTTATTTGGAAGACAGATGAGTCGGCTGTTACGGTTGCCTACTATTCACGTTCATCAAGCTTGTGGTTCCTGTTCCAAAGCTCCATTTCGTTTCCAAACGAACAGAGAGCATCCATTTTGTGTCTATTGTGAGGCATGATAGCATTTCACATAACAAGCAGAAGAAGTACAGAATGACCATTTTAATTTGACTTTTTGATCTCGTAACTCATGTTCATGCATGAACACCACAATCAGGATACTTGCCCCCATTTTTAAGGTCTCGAAGTATAATAAATTTACTCTGTTACGATCCTGTTCTTTAGATGTGGAAGAACGAGTTTCGTGATCTTGAAACTAAGCATACAGGCGGACAAAAAGTTGACTGCATCGTTGGAGTCTTCTTGCTCTGACTGTATGCATTTTCATCATATCAAGTGATTGGGTCGCATTAAAAGCGGTAGAAATACTTGGTTTAAATCTGAAACGCAGACTTACCTAGAGCAGAAAAAATATAAATAAATAAAAATTATTTCGATGAATGAGGTTCCATTGTAGTTACCTCGCGATGGCAGGTTTTTGGAATTTTGTGTATTTATCAATGATGAAGACTACAAAGAACTCAGAATCCAAATTGCACCGGAGCTAGTGCAAAAAAAAAAAATATCTAATATATATAGACGATCGTGACTGACTGACTGACTGACGCTAATATTAACCCTGTTCTAGAAGGGATAGAAATCTGAAACTTGGTGCACATGTACCTTTTGGGATGCATAGTTCAGAAAAAAAATACGACTTTGGAGGTTCATGCCCTAGGGGTACACATTTTTTGGGGGAAACTTTTTACATGAATGAATTTTATGACAGATGAGGATGACATTAAGAGACTGAATTGGCTGTGCGGGGTTCGGTGGTGTAGTAGCAGCACATCTCACAATCAGAAGGACCAGTTTCAATTCCCGGCCATTCCTTGGCACTCTATTGGCTTCCTGCCTTCCATGTCTCGTTACGCATTCGACCTCCAGAACGTTATTTTTGCTTGAATAAAATGGAGAGACATGAAAAGCTGAAACTTGGCATAGACGTGCCTACCGAGACGATGAGTTCAGGAAAAAAGCAAAATTTTAGATACATGAACTGAGGGCATATTTTTGTGAACCGACGTTTTCAAGTATTTTTCTGTCCTGGCGTATTGATTTAGTTCGCACCCGCGTGCACGGAATCCACGTCGGGTGCAACAAAAGTTCCAAGGACGTAAATAATTCCGTGTTTGGATGACTTCCGAAGTGGACTGCCCAGAGAATGTTGCGAGGGACATATCGCATGAAAATACTGTAGGGATATGTTACAGCGATATAGGTTTCAGCTGAGAGAGTTAAGAGCATGTCATATTAATTTGTTGATATAATGGTTACGTTTTACGTGGGAATTCAAGAACAGACATTTTAAGGTCATTGAGTCTGCTAACTGTGCTATGACCTTCCCAGGCATGCGCACTGTGCTCGAGTCAGGTTTTCTTGCCTTTCTTCTGGTCTAGTCCTCGTTGCTATGGCCCTTCATCGCGCTGGCACTGTTAGTATACCTCAAATTGTTTTCGTCCAGATTGTTCTAAGTCCAAAGAATGAGAAAGGCAACCCAACTGATACATCATATCGGGAAATTATGAGTCATCTGGGTTGCGGCCTTCGACCATGATTATTTTAAAATCCAACTGATCCATCATCCCAGAAATTAGGCTTAGTTTCTTGCTCGTTCAGCCCAACATAGAAGGAATGTGGTTCGCCTGAGCTGCCTTCATCTTGTTTTCTTTGAGTTGGGTATATAGCACAAATTCGAAAGCACCGAGTGAACACGCCTATGGGTCGAGGTTTCAGGCGAGGCTAGCATGGGGTGACGAATGAAAGCCATATTTTCTTATCTTTCTCAGCTGAAATATGTGTCACGTATTAAAGTGAGGATAGTCCCAGCATTAATACTTGACGGGGATTCTTAGGTTTTGGGTTCGGTCCAGCAAACTCAGGAAAAGAAACTCCCTTTTCACTCTCAAAGAAAAGGGGAATTTATGTTCCCGTTCTCTACCTCCTTGATCGATCCCAAGGACATGAAAACAAAACCCAAAAGGAAAAGAAAGAAAGGACAGGAAACACAAACAGACACAACACAAGGAACACAGAGAATGGCCGCGGAAAATTTACCCCAGTGAACTATAAACTACGAAAGTGGACTATGTCCCTACAAATCTCCCTCCCAGGCCCACCCAACACGTTACTCTCTGCCTTTCCCATCCACACTCTCTCTTCCTCCCCAGTTCGGAGGTTCCGCCTTCTCTTGGGACGGGACCCCTTATTGGTAGACCCCGTATTTGATGACATTCGACTGAGTCCCATTAACCCGTCTCCAAACCCCGCACTGACCAGCAGCTAGTCCCCCTAGACGACTCCAGCCCTTAGGAGCGCCATCCCTTTGTCTTCCCCCCTCATACGGGATCAGTGACCTCCGAGACTGAGAAAGACAACGACGAGTGACCTCCCCGACCTCCCAAGAGAAAGGAAGAGACACCGCCACCTGTCGGAATCCTCTTCCTCCAGCTTCGACAGCGGCCCAATATTCGTCGCCGAGTAGCCGATAAGACAGTCTCCAACGACTCACATTCCACTTTGTCTTTGGCGGAAGACAAATACATTTATGCGTTGTATCGATGATCTCTTAAGTGTCCTTTCTGAGCCCCTCCACCCGGACCCAGTGTCTCAAGTACCAAATTCGAGACAGTGCAAAAGAGGAGACTTGAAAGCTCGGCCTCCCGTAACTCTATCCTGTCTCCTCCACTCCGACGACACGACCTAGCTCATAAGAACTGACATGGAATGCACTCATAAAATGAATAGGAAGCAATGCAATAAGCCAGGCATTTTCCCCCGCCTTTCATCGAAGGCGACAACACTATGTATAGGGCTGATAGACACCAATTGCATGTTGTTTACAATCGGGTGTGACTTCAACTGTTTTCGATAAAAGAGCCTTTCACTTCAGAATTCTTCAAGTAACTCACAACACGGGCCGTTTGCGATCAAATTAGTGCATTCACAGCGACGTGGCACTGCAACTTTTTATTTCCATCAATCGCGTCCAGTGGCGACGAATTGGCCATGACTAATGCACGGACACAGTAAAGACAGGAATGAGACTGACTTAAAACGTGAATGCAGAAACTCTAACTCCCCCTCTGACCCCTTCCGAGGCAGAACACCGAATCAGACGTGAGCTTCCAGCGAGTGGCTTGTCATGGCCTTTCGTTTCGTCTGTTGGGTGATTCCATTGCAGATATAGCAACTACGCACTAAACGGTGAATGGACTTTGCTTACTAGTGCCAATGCCAGTATTAGCTTTTTCTCAGAATCATTTCTGTTTGCTTTCCATAAATATTTGCTTTAGTTAGAGACCCCATGCATGACGGAAGTGATTAAA